AGAGCAATATAAAATTACAGAAAATGTGAAAACTTCAAATTCTCTGGAGTTCTGGATTTTAGACAGTGACGGGAGTTTTATTAGGAGTTCTAGGTTCTTGGTTCCAGGGCCTTTGCCCTCATTGTGGTTCAGTGCCTGGTTCTAGAGTCTTATCTGGGATTGTTACTGGACTACATTGTTCCGGAACCTTGACTCTCATTGTGGTTCATTGCCTGGTTCTAGGCTCTTAGCTGCGATTGTTACTGGACTACATTGTTCCGGGACCTTGACTCTCATTGTGGTTCATTTCCTGGTTCAAGGGTCTTGGCTGCAGTGCTGGTGGTTTGCCTCCTGCTTGGACTTCATACTACACTCCATTGCCCCCAGTCATCAATGAATGACAGGCTCTGTAATCCCCCCTCAAGTGAGCTGCAGTCACTGTACAACCAATAGCAGAGGCAGAGCACGAAATGAGTTTTGTAAGTGGAGCAATAACTGGGCTGCGTGACGAGGAATACCAATGCCCTGCTTTCTCTTCGGCAGCAGGCATGGGGGGAAGGGGATTTGCTGGAGGAGATTGAGTTATAATTGCCTGCCTGCAGAGAGAACATGTCTCCTAGACACCAACAGAATAGCAATGAGGCTTGGGCATGACTGTATATGATATTAGTTTATCTCTTTGCAGGCGTGTGTGAGTATGAGTGCCTGTGTGCGAAGCCCCATTGTACCGCTGAAAGTACAACGATTCACTTTTGGATCTTCCAAAATCTCGAGGGTGTCGGTATTATTTTCATCATCCTGAGATGAACCAGCTTGCTCCTACAGCATCTTTTTCATTAAACGTATTGTATTTACATAAAAGGGAGGGTTTTCATATCACATTTTAGTATTTAGGACATGTGAGAGCTCTATATGTCATTTAAACTGTTAAAGATTCAACGTAAATGTTTAGGTGCTAGTTGGACTTCGAATCTGCAGTGACCCACCATAGCCTAGAGTATGGGAGCCTCACACAGAAGGGGCCTCCAGCTTGCAGCACAATAGTGAGCTCAGCAGACACAGAGGAGTGCTGGCTCCGCTTGTGCTCAGCCCTTCTGCAGAGCTGCATGTTGTTCACAGACAGATTTCTTCCAGTTGTCCTTTTGCAGTTGGCCTTGAAGTGGTCCTGTTTTGCACTTACTGTGCACGGGCAGGGGAATTTTTGGAGTAAGTGTATAAGAAAATAAATTTGAATTGAAAAATTATTTAAAATAATATGGATGATTGAAGTCTTTTTTGTTTCTTTCTTGTACATCAGCCTCGGTGTCCTATATTTACGTAACCATTGTTGCTCCATGAAGATGCTTTCAAACATAATAATAATAATTGCTTACACGTATATAGCGCTTTTCTGGACACTCCACTCACTCCACTCCACTCAAAGTGCTTTACAGGTAATGGGGACTCCCCTCCACCACCACCAATGTGCAGCATCCACCTGGTTGATGTGACAGCAGCCATAGTGCGCCAGAACGCTCACCACACATCAGCTATCAGTGGGGAGGAGAGCAGAGTAATGTAGCCAATTCAGAGAGGGGGATTATTAGGAGGCCATAATTGGTGAGGGCCAATTTAAAATTTTGGCCAGGACACCGGGGTTACACCCCTACTCTTTTCGAGAAAAGCCCTGGGATTTTTAATGACC